AGATTTGTGCCCAACTGTTGACGGACGGACGGACGCTCGGACGGACGGACGCTCGGACGGACGGACGCTCGGACGGACGGACGGACGGACGATCATGCGATTCTACAAGCTGCATCTGACTATGTCAGATGAGCTAAAAAACAAAACCCTACCACACCCTCTACCCTCACACATATCTCTACCACGAGTAAAACGGTGACTCACCATCTTCTTGCCGCTGTCATCGCTGTCCGGACTCATCACGCCTTCGTCGTCGTGGTCGTCCGCGGCAACCGCGTCCGTCCCCGCAGCATCTGCCGACCGCCGTCGGTCGCCGAGACGGGAGTCGCCCGACCGCCGCCGCTCCGGCACGGACGGTGGCGCCACCACGGCCGCCTCGCCGCCGCCGGACTTGCGTCGGTCACTCTTGCGTGACCTTAGCGGTCGCTCGTCCTCGTCAGGCTGGGACAGGGAGAGGGCACCAGTGTCAGCCAGCCGAATGACGATATGAGAGATGAGCAGCACTCACCTTCTACTATTTCCTCTTCTTATTATTATTACCTCCGCCATGGGCTTGGCGGAGGTTATGTTTTCACCGGCGTGTCTTTGAGTGTTGGTTTGTTTGTTACCATGCACGTTTCAGTTTACTTCCACTAGGTGCGCTGGCTGTAGACTTACAAACACGCAACCACAGGCTAAGGGGCAACCACAGTCCTCCCCCACCTGCACGCTCGCACTAATCCGGATCCAATTAATTATTTAATTAATTTATTTTTCCACTTAATTAATTAATTAATAACAAATTTCACATTGAGAGAATTCAGCTGCCTTGGCGGAGGTCTGTGCTCTCCGAGTGCTCTAGTTACTATTAACAATACTATTATTAAAGTAATTATTGCGAGAGTTTTCCAGTGTTTTCACCACTTTCATGATACCTACCGTTATTGATCGAGTAACAGCAATTGTCTAGAGTAACAATAAAATGTCTTAGAACCTTCGTATTCCACAAAACATGTAAATTTCGAACTACTAGTTCGTTTGCTGTAATCTTCAAAACTAGCCGGTAGTATGAAGTAGCTAGTGGCGCCGCCGCCTATCTACCATAGACATAGTACAGGCTCTCTCAAATGCACTTGTTTTTAAGATTACCAATTCGGCCAAGGCGCCATTTGTGATTTTGAGAGTCGGCATACGATAAAATTTATTGCTGTTACGGTGTGTTCATCTCCTATTTTCTATGCTATAACTGCATAAAATCGTTTTTAATGTTGGTGTAATCAGTGATATTTTTGCTGTCAGGTGAGACTATATTCAGCTATATTTAGTTTTTCTGAGCAAAAATCTCGCAATAGTTAGTTTAATGCTATTATTCAATTTTTAATCGCTCATTTCAATACAGTAATCGTTAAACCTTCGCATGCGTGTGAATTGAACCTTTTCGAACCGATAAAGTTATAACGTTCCCCCTCCCTGATCGCATTTTCGGAACAGCGCGCTCGGAATCGGAATTCCTTGGGCAGATTCGACTCACCTCCGGTACGACCTCGGACGCCTTCCGCAGCACGGGCGACAGCGCCGCGCTGCGTCGGTTGGCCTTGACCCTTGACCTCGTCTCCTTTGCACTGCCGCCACCGCCGCCGCCCTGCGCCTCACCCTCCCAGTCCCTCCACTCATAGTCAGCGCCCTCTGACAGGCGTCTCCGCGCCACCGTCTTTCCACTCTTGCGTCGCCGCCGCGTCGCCGGCGCCCTCTTGCGGTCGTCGTCCTCCGAGGCTGCGACCTTCGCCGGGGTGACAGCGGCGGCGGCGGCGGAGGGTCGCGGCTGGAAGCGACGGTTGAAGCGTGCGACGGGACAGGCTGCCGGCGTTGCACACCCACAGTCCACCTCATACTCACTGCCGACGATGGGGGAGTAATGAAACCGCACGTGAGCAGTGAGCACCAATCACATGAACATGGACACTAAACTTAATGTGAACGAGCATGGCACCTATGTATGCCACAGACACGGGGTTGCGTGTGGGGCTTAACAACCCGAGGGGGGAGGGAGAACAATTATAACTCCCTAAGGCATGAGATATTCCTGACATCTGCTCCTAAACCGTTATCAATTCATCCCAACTTCATTGTGACTAGTATTGTCGTCATGCTATCACTGATGAGTTTTTAGCAATTGTTTATTATTTTGGCTACATCCCAAATTCACAATCTTAGATAATGATCCCATAGAGTGTACTGGTACTGGAGGTACCTATTATCTGACCAATGATACCATGCTATACATACTAACATTAGCCGGACACATATGCTAACAAATGTTACAGTTAAAAGCAACTACCAAGGGCAAAACAAAGCTGAAACGACCTTCACTCAGTGTCAACGACACCTCTTTGAATTCACTCCACTGACGCGCTCGCAGTTTGCTAGTGCCTTCCTCTTCTCAACTCGATGATAAAAGAATGCGAGAACAGGGGGAAGAGGGCCGAGTGCGCGCGGGGGATACACTCACCACTCGCGGAACTTGTAGTCGAACGGGATGGTGACCTCCTTTCCGCTAGCGATCGGCTTCGTAGAGTAGATGCAGATGTGCAGCGCGCCGGACTCGATGATGTGCTCAATCTACACGCCAGACAGCGAGATGCGGTGAGACGGGCATGAGACATGAGACAGTAGAATAGTAAAATGGGCAAGACATGAGACATAGCGAGACAGACGATTCAAGGGACACAGTAACACAATGAGATGGGTGACTCATAACTCAGTGAGACACCGAGACGGGTCACGGGTGAGATACAATACACAGTAAGACAGTGACACGGGCAAGACACACTACACAGTAAGACAGTGACACGGGCGAGACACACTACACATTAAGACAGTGAGATGGGCGAGAAACAATACACAGTAAGACAGTGAGATTGGCGAGAAACAATACACAGTAAGACAGTGAGATTGGCGAGAAACAATACACAGTAAGACAAGGATGGAACAACTGCGTAGATGAGAGCAAGACACAATACACAGTACAGGACAGTGATCTGGAAGAGACCAATTTTGAGTTTTGCGCGGGGGTGTGGCACGGCAGCACTCATGCACCTCCGCGTTGGGGGGTGCACGAGGCGGCCGCACGTAGCCGCGCTCGCTTGCGCATAGTGCTCGCATCTAGCGCGCAAAGACGTCGCCAGGAAACCTTGTCGTAGACAGCACGAACGGATGCGGCCTGCGGAGAGAGACACCACACCAGAGGGCGCTGAGCGTCCGGACAATCGCCACGGCCGAGCGAGCGAAAACGTGGGGGCCGCCACGCGAGTAAATATCGCGATATCATGACATTGCAACCAACTACTATAGCGCATGAAGACCAGCGCTCCCATTTGTCTACCTCGACAGAGGTGAACAACACAGAAGTGGTCGAGCATATGTGATGCGCACACACCATACAACGGTCACTACTGCTGCGGGGGGGTGCTCAGCTGACGATTCTACTGATTGATTATTCACACTTATTTTAGGATTTAACTCTAGGATTATTTGACTTTGATATGCTTTCCGAAACAATCTCCAGAGGCCATCTGGCCCACCTCCCCCATCCCTTTTCCATGCTGGTGGCCACAACCCACGGACGTAGCATTTTGCTGGTGCACACTGTCTGCCTTCCACTCGTGCTAACGCTTACACACGGCCATTAACTCTACACACGACTATGTCATGATTCACCTCTCATGTTATGGTACCTTTTATTATGCTCTTTATGTTATATTCACATATTTTTGGTTATTTTGATTTGCTCTGGAATCTGGAATCCGACAAGTGTTAAAGGTCTAAGTAAATGGAAGTGGTCAATGACACTAGTGCTCACCACAAAAAAGGACACAAATGAGTGAGTGAGAAGAAAGTCGGTTTTAATGAGCCAACCATCGACGTACATTTATAGAAACGAAGAGTATATATGGGAGAACTCCATTATTTACTCTTGATAATTATGTTGTAATTTTTTATGTGAAAATAAATGTTGAGGATGTAAAAGTCTGAGATGTGGCGGAGTGATGGTATTACACCTAAATGATCGCCATTTTAACGTTTTTATAATATTCAGATTTAGGCACTGCCTAAAAAGCGGAGCTCCATGTGTAACGATGTAAGATTGAGAGGATATTCCACGTAGCTGCTATTACCACGTGACAATGGTGTTTCCCTTGCCCTATAACACAACTTGTCAAAGGTTAATTGGTTGCATGGTGTGCATGCGGTTTACTTCGTTACTATCGTGTTACGGCGCTATACCCGCTTTGATGTTTTCTTAGCGATGGCGTTCAAATAAATAGTTATTGCAGCGTTCCGACATGTTTTGTAAACTTTACGCTAATATAGACGTTTTATCGGCAGGGTGGAGAGGAAATACCAATTTTCGCATTAAAGATATTGTCAATGAAATCTTGTAAAACGAACCAGACGAGTGTGACACCACAGCACTGTTATCTGCGTGTCTATATAATTTACTATATAATTGCCAAAACCTACTAATTTGCATAATTTTTTTTTTTTTTTAATATCAAAACCGCCTTTAATACGTTTTGGGGGCCAGCCCTTATTCATTCATATACCAAAAATGAGCAAAATCTCGTTGAACCTGTACTGACTAATGGCAATTTCCATTTTTGCCAAAAAATTGCCGTGGCTCGAAAGTATGTCGACTGGCTAGACCGAATAATTCTGTCCCATATAACCTTTTTTATATTTTGGTGAGGGTATATAACCCTTTGGTGGGACAGAACGGGGGTTCATTGAAATTTTGTGAGATCGCATGCAAAATGCATGCGCTGCGAATGCCGGCCCGTACGCCGCTATATTGGCGCAAAAAAAAACCTACCGTTCCTTCTTACATGGCTTTAACCTTGCTACTGATATGTGTATACATTAACTTCAATCGTTATTTACTTCTTAAAAGATTGTTTTTCATAAACCCCGCTTCATTAACTTTAGTAAATTACTCGGCCCATTTACAAACAATCAGACTAATCACAGCGAGTCTAATCAGGCCTCCTGCAGCGCCACAGATACAAGCGAGAACCAGGGGGTTGTAAGATTCGCTCTGATTGGTCTGATTGTTTGTAAATGGCCGACGTAATTTACTAAAGTTAATGAAGCGGCCGGTTTATGAAAAACAATCTTTTAAGAAGTAAATAACGATTGAAGTGAATGTATGCCACATATCAGTAGCAAGGTAAAGCCATGTAGAAGAACGGTAGGTTTTTTTTTCGCGCCAATAGCGGCGTACGGGCCGCATTTCGCCAGCGCATGCATTTTGCATGCGCATCTCACGAATTTCAATGAACCCCGTTCTGTCCCAATATAACCCTCACCAAAATATAAAAAAGGTTATATGGGACAGAATTATTCGGTCTAGTCGACTGGCGTGCTCCAAAATAGGACGTTCAAACCTCTCCCATAGCAGTAACAACTATACCAATTTCAAAACATGTTGGTCAACGGTTCCTGAGTTATCGTTGCACCGTAGCAAATGTAGACGGAAGAGCGGACGGACGGACGTACGACGGACGACGAACCCATGGACAATGCTCATCTTTGACGATGTCAAGGTGAGCTAAAAAACCCCGCCAAGGAAAAGATCTATCCCACTCCCTCCGGAGGCTACGGCCCTAGGGGGTCATTGAATAAGTTCATTCGGTTGGTAGAATAATATAAATAACCAAGTTAATTGTTACTCAACCGTGCTGGTATGAAACGTACCGCTGACGTTTCGCCTCTGTCCAGGAAGCTTTTCTCAAAGCTAACTGAATTTAATCACGGACCAGTATTTAAACTTCAACTCACACCACACAGTCAACCACAAACTGTCTGTGGTACGGACCCTACTAGATCGTAGAGACAAAATTATAACGGAGAGTGAGGACCGGGAAGCTGAAGCGCGCCACATTAAGAACGCTTTAGGGAAATGCGGCTATCCCAATTGGACACTCGATAAAGTGTCCAAGGAGATGCAAACACCACGGGAAAAAACATCATCCCAAAAGAAAACCTCCACGGGAAAACCGAAGACGATGATCGTCCTACCCTACGTCAGAGGGGTCACGGACGTTGTTCAGCGTCACCTAAAAAATAGCAGGTGTGGCGTCAACAGTGGACGCGTTTGAAACTTCTAAAACGGTTTAGTACATCTCTAAAGACAAACAGACATGGCCACAACATTACGGCACTGCGTCTATAAAATACCGTGTGTGCTATGTGTGAAAGAAGTACATTGGAGAAACGCGCCGAAAATTTAAAACCCGCCTAAAAGAACACCAAAAGGACGTAGACACCGTAGCACCCAAATCTTTCACTAGGGCCCAGCGAAAACAGTCGGCTACCGAAATCACAAAATCCGCGATCACTGATCATGTAGCGAAGGACAACGCACACCATCGGATGGTGAGAATTCGCCAGATCATTGATCGCGAGCCTAAAAAATCAGGCGTTGATCAAGGAGGCCATCTGGATTCCCAAGACCCCAAATATCAACCGGGACGAGGGGGATACAGGCTTAGTCACGTGTGGACTAAGCTATTGACCACCACACCATCTGGTGGTCAAAACTGATTAAATTCAGTTAGCTTTGAGAAAGCTTCCTGACAGGAGGCGAAACGTCAGCGGTACGTTTCATACCAGCACGGTTGAGTAACAATTAACTTGGCCCTAGGGGGTCTTAACATTAGTCATGGCGTAAACTTTTTGTTTCAGACCGATCATTCCAATCATGTAAAACCGCAGCAAACCACCTCATACCTTGCTACAAAACAAAATTCTGTCAACACTCTACGAGAAAAAATCAACGTCACGAGTAATGTCAAGACAAATCTTGCTCTGTTCCAGCCCCCCCCCCTCCCCCATCCCGCGCACTCTCCCTCCCCCTCACCCTCACCAGCTGCAGCCGTTAACCCCCCCCCCCCCCCCACCACCCGCCCCGCGACGCCTGTCGTTCGACTCACGTCTTGTGGACGTGGTGCGCGGGGCTCTCAGCCTCCCACTCGCGGTGCAGCATCACGCGGCCGTAGTACTCGGCAACGAGCTGTCCCTCGCGCGTTGCCTCCGTCATAATGAGGCCGCGACGGCCCGCCGCGCCAACGTCCGCCACCGCGCCGACGTCCGCCACCGCACACAGGTGCGCCTGCAGCTGCATCGACAGCTGAATCACCTGAAAGCAGAAAACAGCCAACATATACATCATTGTTACATATATAAAGTTACGTTGATATGTATTACGTTGATAATGTATACAGAGAAGGCAATTAAACACAGGTCGTGCAGTCTTTACTGCCAAACGCATGAAAAATAACTGAAAATATATAATAACAAATATATATATAGTTAATGAGAAAAAGAGAGACAGAGAGAGAACGAGTGAAAGAAAGAGAGAGATAACCAAAGGGATGGACGGAGAGAGGAACAGAGAGTGATTGAGAGAGAGAAAAAAGGTGTCAAATCAGTTTGCTGCGTCACACTGTGTCAAACACTGCACAATAGCAATATAATAATTACATGGTTAAAAACTTTAACAAATATATCTGCGGAGAGAGGGAAGAGAGAGAGAGAGACATAGAAGAGGGTAAGAGACAGACAGAGAGAGAGAGGACAGTAAGAGAGAGGGAGAAAGCGACCGCGATCATTGATGCCCTGACCTTGAGGTCGTCGTCGATGTCATTGTGATGGCCGTTCTTGCGCGCGTTTGACAGCGCCACCTTCACGTCGGCCGTGTACGTGTTGATGTTGGCAAGCTGTACAGCGCTCGGCTGCTGCGCCGCCACTGGTGGCTCCCCCTGCTCGTCCGGCGTGTCCGCGCCGCTGTCCAGCGACGTCGTCGCCGCCGCCGTCGCGGCAACGCTCTTGCTGCGCAGTCGCTTTATGCGGCGTCTGCTGCTGCCGCTGTTGCTGCTGCCGACCTGCATTTCTCCATTCTTCTCCGCAAGTTTCTGTCGGCGATGCGAAAAGATATGCGTGAGCACAAGTAACAACAGGTAAACATAGGTAACACAGTAAAGTAAGTAAATGCAGGTAATAACAAGTACCACATAGGTAAACATAGGTACCACAGTTATATAATCACAGGTAACTATATAACAACTATAAGTAAATAGTTATAAGTAATACAGAAAAGTAAGTAAACAACTCAACAACAACAAGTACAAGTGAACATAAGTAACACAGTAAACTAAGTATTCACTGGTAGTAACAAGTACAAGTAACACACAGTAAGAACAAAGTAAAATAAGTATATAGTATGTGCATAGGTATACAGCTACAGGTAATATAAATGCCAGTAACGGAGTGAAGAATGAAACTGACAAGCTGCGACGCCACGCATACCTTGCGCTTGCGGATGTTGTTGCGGCGCGTGGCCGCGAGCTCCAGCTTCTTGCTCTCGTTCATCTTGCGCTTGTTAACGAGCTTCTCCTTCATCTTACGCTTTAGCTTGCTGATGCTGCTGTTCGGAGCGACGAGGGTGGCGGCGTTGGCGGGGCGGCGAGGGGGTGCCACGGGCTCGCCGGGCGACAGCGACTGCTCGCCGGGCAGCGAGTCGTTCATGTAGAGCTTCGATTCGGTGTCGCTGTCCGTCGCGCTGTCACCTGCAACGCACGGAGGAGAGCATGTGACGCGGTAACTCGCAGCCTCCGCGACACGAGATGGGAGTCTGACGGGGATGCCTGGAGACGCAGGAAGATGGGGATCTGACGGGGATGCCGGGAGATGGGGGGGACGCGAGGTGATGGGGGGTCTGACAGGATGCCAGGAGACGGAGGTTTGACGGGGATGCCGGGAGACGGGGGGACACGGGAGACCGGAGGTCTGACAGGGATGCCGGGAGACGCCGGGTGACGCGGGGTGATGGGGACGCGGGGTGATGGGTGGTCTGACTGTCTGACGGGGATGGCGGGAGATGGGGGGGTCTGACGGGGATAGCGGGGGATGGGTAGATGCCGGGTGACGCGGGCCCGAGATGGGGGGTCTGAAGGGGATGTATTGGCGAGAAACAATACACAGTAAGACAGTGAGATGGGCAAGACACAATACACAGTACAGGACAGTGATCCTGGAAGAGACATTTGAGGTTTTTGCGCGGGGGTGTGGCACGGCAGCACTCACTCACCTCCGCGTTGGGGGTGCACGAGCGGCGCACGTAGCGCGCGTCGCTGCCATAGTTGCTCGCATCTACCGCAAAGACGTCGCCAGGAAACTTGTCGTAGAACAGCACGAACGGATGCGGCCTGCGGAGAGAGACACCACACCAGAGGGCGCTGAGCGTCCGACAATCGCCACGCGCGAGCGAGCGAAACGTGGGGGCCGCCACGCGAGTAAATATCGCGATATCATGACATTGCAACCAACTACTATACGCATGAAGACCAGCGCTCCCATTTGTCTACCTCGACAGAGGTGACAACACAGAAGTGTCGAGCATATGTGATGGGCACACACCATACAACGGCTCACTACTGCTGCGGGGGGGTCTCAGCTGACGATTCTACGTGATTGATTATTCACACTTATTTTAGGATTAACTCTAGGATTATTTGACTTTGATATGCTTTCCGAAACAATCTCCAGAGGGCCATCTGCCCACCTCCCCCATCCCTTTTCCATGCATGGTGGCCACAACCACGGACGTAGCATTTTGCTGGTGCACACTGTCTGCCTTCCACTCGTGCTAACGCTTACACACGGCCATTAACTCTACACACGACTATGTCATGATTCACTCTCATGTTATGGTACCTTTTATTACGCTCTTTATGTTATATTCACATATTTTGGCTTATTTTGATTTGCTCTGGAATCTGGAATCCGACAAGTGTTAAAGGTCTAAGTAAATGGAAGTGTCAATGACACTGTAGCTCACCACAAAAAAGGACACAAATGAGTGAGTGAGAAGAAGTCGGTTTTAATTGAGCAACCATCGACGTACATTATAGAAACGAAGAGTATATATGGGAGAACTCCCATTATATACTCTTGATAATTATGTGTAATTTTTTATGTGAAAATAAATGTTTGAGATGTAAAAGTCTGAGATGTGGGCGAGTGATGGTATTACACCTAAATGATCGCCATTTAACGTTTTTATAATATTCAGATTTAGGCACTGCCTAAAAGCGGAGCTCCCGATGTGTAACGTGTAAGATTGAGAGGATATTCCACGTAGCTGCTATATACCACGTGACAATGGTGTTTCCCTGCCTATAACACAACTTTTGTCAAAGGTTAATTGGTTGCATGGTTGCATGCGGTTTACTTCGTTACTTCGTGTTACGGCGCTATACCCGCTTTGATGTTTCTTAGCGATGGCGTTCAAAATAAATATGTTATGCAGCGTTCCGACATGTTTTGTAAAACTTTACGCTAATATAGACGTTTTATCGGCAGGGTGGAGAGGAAATACCAATTTTGCATTAAAGATATTGTCAATGAAATCTTGTAAAACGAACCAGACGAGTGTGACACCACAGACTGTTATCTGCGTGTCTATATAATTTACTATATAATTGCCAAAACCTACCTAATTTGCATAATTTTTTTTTTTAAATATCAAAACCCCTGTAATACGTTTTGGGGCCAGCCCTTATTCATTCATATACCAAAAATGAGCAAAATCTGTTGAACCTGTACTGACTAATGGCAATTTCCATTTTTGCCAAAAAATTGCCGTGGCTAGAGATATCGTCGACTGACTAGACGAAAGATACATTATGATAAAATATAAACCTTTTATATTAACTTTTTGGTGAGGGTATAATAAAAACCATTTGGTGGGCGAAGAAAAAAACAGGAGGTTCATTGAAATTTTTGGTGAGATGAGAAAATGGCAATGCAGTGCGCTGCGAATGCGGCCCGTACGCCGCTATTGGGGAATAAAACCTACGGGTTCCTTCGACATGGCTTTACCGTGCTACTGATAATGTGTATCATTCGCGAGAGGAGCGACAAGGCAGGGGCGCCCGGCAAGACTGCAGAGGTCGGTTAGTTGACTATGCTAGAAGATTGTGATTTATCATAGCGGGAAGCACGACCGCTTCATTAACTTTAGTAAATTACGTCGGCCATGTTCACACATGACAGACCGCGTGATAATCACAGCGATCTAAGTCAGGGCCTCGCGAACTGGGCAGGCGCCACAGATCAAGGCGAACCAGGGGTTGTAGAGATTGCGCTCTGATTGGTCTGATTTGTTTGGTAAATGGCCGAAGTAATTGTTACTAGAGTTGATGAGGGCGGGGTTTAATGAAAACAATTTATTAGAGAAGTAAGTAACGATTGAATGAGGAAATGTATGGCACATAATAGCTGCAAGAGTAAAGGCCATGGCTTCAGAGAAGGAACGGCCTAGGGGCTTTTTTTGTGCGCGCCAGAAGCCGGCGTTACGGCCGCGATTATCGGCAGCGCATGGCACATTTTAGCATTGGCATTCCATCAGGCCCAAAGTTTCCAATGAAGCGCCGCCCGGCTTCTGTACCCAATATAAAGGCTACCAAAGATATTAAAAAGTTATGGGACAGGAATCTTATTCGGTCGTAGTGCCTGACTGATCGTAAGGCTCCCAAAATAGGACGTTCAAAACTCTCGCCATAGGACGTACAAGCTTATACCCAATTTCAACATTGTGGGTCAACGGGGTTCCTGAGTGTTTATGGATTGAGCGTAGGCAAATGTAGACGGAAGGACGAGAACGGGGGCTCACGACGTACGAGCGGACGAGGACGACGCCATGATAGCTCATGCTTTGAAAGGATGTCAAGGTGAACTAAAAACCGGCCGCCAAGGAAAAGATCTATCCCACTCCCGTCCGGGCTACGGCTAGGGGGTCATTGAATAAGTTCATTCGGTTGGTAGAAGAATATAGATTAAAAGTTAATTGTTACAACGTCTGGTATGAAACGTACAGCTGACGTTTCTCCTACTGTCAGGAAGCTTTCTCAAGATAATGAAATTTAATCACGGACCAGTTTTAAACTTCACTCACACCGACACAGTCAACCACAAAACTGTCTGTGGTACGGACCGCTACTAGATAGTAGAGACAAACTTTAAGCGGAAGAAGTGAGGACCGGGAAGCTGAAGCGCGGTCAGCAGGTTAAGAACGCTTTAGGGAAATGAGCTATCCCAATTGGACACTCGATAAAGTGTCAAGGAGATGAAACGGGGGAAACATCATCCGAACATAAAACTCCACGGGAAACCCGAAGACCGTGATCGTCTAGCCCTACAGTCAGGGTCGGGACGTTGTTCAGCCCCACGTCTAAAAATGCAGGTGTGCGTCACAGTGGACCGTTTGAAAGCTCTAAAAGCGGCTTTTAGTAGGATCCTAAAGACAGAAAAGACATGGCACAAATTACGGATCGCGATCTATAAATACGTGATGCTAGTGGTGTGAAAGAAGTTACATTGGAGAAACCGACCGAAAATTAAACCCGGTAAAGAACCAAAAGGAGGTAGACACGTAGCACCCAAATCTTTCAATAGGGGCGGAAACAGTCGGCTACCGGAAATCACAAGAATGCCGGGATCACCTGATGCAGTGTAGCGAAGGACAACAGTGAAGTCCTCGGGACATCGTTGGGAGGAATGCAGATCGATCTGTCGGCTGAGCTAACAAGATCAGGGTTGGATTGCAGGAGGCCATCTGGATCCGAACCCAAATATCTAACCGGGACGAGGGGGGATACGGATTAGTCACGTGTGGACTAAGCTATTGAGCGCCCAAACATCTGGTGTCAACCTGATTAAATTCAGTTAGCTTGAGAATAGGCTTCCTGAAGGAGGCGAAACGTCGGCGGTACGTTATAACCAGCACGGGTTGGTAACATTAAAAAAAAAAAACAAGAATAAATAAAAACACACAAGAAACAACGAGAAAATAAAGAAAAAACTAACGAGTACAAAAATAAACAAAAACCATATAAAAAAATAAACAAAAAAAAATAAAAATAACAACGAAAAAAAAACCCAAATAACCCCCGAACAATCAACCTAAACAAAACAAAAAGAAAAAACAAAAATAACTAACAAACAAAACCTTAAAAAAACCCTAAAACAACCCCAACACCAGAAAAAAACCTGAAAAAAGAAATCTCAAAAACCCAACCAAACCCCCCAAAAAAACAGACCCCCAAACTACAGCTAACAACCAAAAACAAAAAACCAACTAAGAAAACCCGAAACCAAACAAAAACCACCCTACCAAAAAGACAAACTACCACCTCCCCCACCCTTTACCCTAACTAAACACTAACAAACCAAAACCCCCCACCAAAAAACCTCAACAAAAGGAATAACCACGAAAAATACCCACCCCAAAAAAAGAACAAAAAGCCTTTGCGCTAGGGGTCTTAACATTAGTCATGGGGGGTAAACTTTTTGTTTCGACTTATTCCAATCATGTAAATCGAGCAAACCTCAGTACCTTGCTAGCAAAACAATTCTGTCACACTCTAGAGAAAAAATAACGTCAAGAGTATGTCAAGCAAATTTGCTCGTTCGCCCCCCCACCCCACCACCCGCGGGCTGTCGTTTAGCTACACAGTCTTGTGGACGTGGTGCGGCGGGCTCTCGCCTCCACTCGCGTGCTGCATAACGCGCCGTAGTACTCGCAACGAGCTGTCCTGCGGAGCGTTGCCTCGTGATAATGAGGGCCGCGACGGCGCCGTCGCGGAACCAGTCGCCACGCGCCGACGTCCGCACCGCACACAGTGCGCGCTGCAGTGCATCGACAGCTGAATAGGTGAAGCAGAACAGCACAACATATACATATTGTTAATATATAAATTACGTTGATATGTATTAGTTGATAAATGATACGAGAGGCTTAAACAGCGGTCGTGCAGTCTTCTGCCAAACGCATGAAATAACTGAATATATATAACAAAATATTAAGTAGTAGTTATGGAGAAAAGAGAGACGAGAGGAAGGTGAACGAAAGAGAGAGATAACAGGGATGGACGGTAGAGAGGAACAGAGAGTGTTGAGAGAGAGAAAAAAGGGATGTCAAATCAGTTTTGCTGCGTCACACTATGTCACATCATACTGCACATACATATACCATAAATTACATGGTTAAAATTTAACAAATATATTGCGGAGAGAGGGAGAGGAGAGAGAGCAATAGAAGAGGGTAAGAGAAGACGGAGAGAGAGGACAGGTAAGCAGAGAGGGAGAAAGCGGGCGGATCATATGAATGCTCTGACCTGAGGTCGTGTCGTGTGATGTGATGGCCGTTCTTGTGCGCGCAGTTTTGTGACAGGCACTCACGGCGGTTTACGTGTTGATATGTGGCAGGCTGTACGCGCTCGCTGCTGCGCGCCACTGTGTCTGCTCGTCCGGGTGTCCCGCGCTGTCCAGGAGGTCGTCGGCGCCTCGCGTCGGGTCAACGCTCGTGTGCGCAGGTCGCTTATGCGGGCGTCTGCTGCTCGCTGTTGCTGCTGCCTGACTGATTTCTCCATTCTTCTCCGCAGTATTCTCGTACGCGATGCGAAAGTTATCGTGAGCCAAGTAACACACGGTACATAGGTAAACGAAAGTAAGTAAATGCAGGATACAAGTACGACATAAGGTAAACAGTAGTACCACAGTTAATATTAATCCGGTAATATATAACAACTATAAGTAATATAGTTAAAGTAATCTACAGAAAAGTAATAAACTCACAAAACAAGTAACAGTGCACAAAGTAACACAGTTAACACTAAGTATCACTGTAGTAACAAGTACAATACACACAGTAAGACAAAAGTAAATAAGTATATAGTATCGTGCATAGGTAATAGCTGTACAAGGTATATATATAAGTGCAGAACGGAGTGAGAATGAAACTGAAAGCTGCGACGCCACGGATACTTGAGTTGGCGATGTTGTTGCGGCGGTGGCGCGAGTCTCCAGCTTCTTGCTCTCGTTGCATCTTGCAGCTTGTTTAACTGAGCTTCTCCTTCATCTTACGCTTTTAGCTTGGCTGATGCTGCTGTTTGCGGGCAGCGACGAGGTGGGGCGTTGCGGAGGCGCGAGGGGTGCACGGGCCTCGCCGGCGCAGCGCTGCTCGCCGGGGAGCGCAGCTGAGTCGTTCATGTGTAGAGATTCGATTCGGTGTGACTGTCCGTCGCGCTGTACTGCAACGCACGCAGGAGAGATGTTGACGCGCTATACTGCGCAGCCTGCCGCGACACGAGATGGGAGTTGAGGATTGTCCTGGAGCGTCAGGAGATGGGGATCTGACAGGGATGCCGGGAGATGGGGGGACGCGAGGTGATGGGGTCTGACAGGATGCCAGGAGACGGAGTTTGACGGGATGCGGAGACGGGGGGACCGGGAGCGGAGGTCTGACAGGATGCCGGGAGACGCCGGGACAGCGGGGTGATGGGACGGGTGAATTGGGTGGTCTGACTGTCTGACGGGGATGGGGGAGAATTGGGGGTCTGACGGAGGGATAGCGGGGAATGGGTAGATGCCGGGTGAACGCGGGCGAGATGGGGGTCTGAGGGGATGGCGCGGAGATGGACAGGTGACGGGGGGATGCCGGGAGATGGGGGGGAATGTGGGACTAGGGAGATGGGGGTTGACGGGGAGCCGGAGAGCGGGTGCAGGGAAGAAGAGACGGATGCGGGGTACGGGGAGAGTCGAAACGGGCCACCCACTCACACACACACACTGCCAAACAATTCGTGGCAGATCATCCACGCTCCCTCACTGGGTTTACACACAACACTTTGCGTTGGCAAATTGGACGCAACTTTTCCAATACAGCCGAGAATCGCAGTGTAAACGCAAAAGTTGCGTGACCAACCGATCGCCAATTCGCCAACATAAAGCTTAACATAATTGCGAGCGTTGCGTCAACTCGCGCGCGCGTGGGGACGGCGCGACTCACCGTTGACATCGTAGATGAGTTCGTCCTTCTTTTTCACCTGCAGCGCGATGGCGCGGTACTTGTCGATGGGCCGCGGGTTGCACTTCTCACACAGGTAGTTCTCAGGCAGCGAATGCCGATCCAGCTGCATGCAGTCACAGTGCTGCCACACCCTGCAGTGACAACACACGACACATGTCAGGGATGTACAGGTGTCTGTATGTACCAAGCACAACACACGTCAGAGGTGTACAGGTGTATTGCCATGTACCAAAGCACACACGTCAGAGGTTACAGGTGTATCACGTACAAGCAAGCAACACACGTCAGAGGTGTACAGGTGTATGCACGTACCAAGCACAACACACGTCAGAGGTGTACAGGTGTATGCACGTACCAAGCACAACACACGTCAGAGATGTACAGGTGTATGCACGTACCAAGCACAACACACGTCAGAGGTGTACAGGTGTATGCACATACCAAGCACAACACACGTCAGAGATGTACAGGTGTATGCACGTACCAAGCACAACACACGTCAGAGATGTACAGGTGTATGCACGTACCAAGCATAACACACGTCAGAGATGTACAAGTGTATGTATGTCAAGAGTACATAATAGAGAAGAGTATGACACTGTTTTAACAGCGTTTTGCGTAGTTTTCAACTTGAATTTATTCTATCAATATGTGAATAAATATATTCAAGCTTTACTTTGTTTTGTTCTCTGATTCTCCCGTAATCATATGACACCACCAGTTTACCTGAAAATCGTATGTGTTCTTCAAAAAAGTTCTTTGAATACGACACGGTTTCACACCGTTTTCCCCACGATTTGCATCTCTCCGATAACAGTTTAATAGCGGCGGCAGCACGAGGTTGTTACTACGGGACCCTGGGGGCTGTTGGGGATATTAGGCATCAAATTATAGTATATATGCAGTGTGTATTGCGTTTCCAGCATGCTAAAAATAAATGTGTGCTGACGGCGAGCTAGCAGCTGATTTTAGCTGTGTTCCTGATGATAATGAAGTGAAACAAGTGCTGTTACTGTGCTTACCTAATATCCCCCAACAGCCCCCAGCGTCCCGTAGTAACAACCTCGTGCTGCCACCGCTATTCAACTGTTATCGGAGAGATGCAAATCGTGGGGAAACCGGTGTGAAACTGTCGTATTCAAAGAACTTTTTTGAAGAACACATACGATTTTCAGGTAAACTGGTTGTGTCGTATGATTAAGGGAGAATCAGAGAACAAAACAAGGTAAAGTTTGAATATATTTATTCACATATTGATCTAGAATAAATTCTAATTCAAAGTTGAAAACTATGCAAAACGCTGTTAAAACAGTGTGTGTCATACTCTTCTCTATTATGTACTCTTGATGTATGTACCAAGCACAACGCACGTCAGAGCTGTACAGGTGTATGTATGGAGGGAGGGAGTGAGGGAGAGCGAGGCTGTCCTGGGTGCATGCAGTCACAGTACTGCCAGACCCTGCAGCAACAACAAACACAACACACATCGGTTTCATGGGAATGCATGTATGGAGAGGAGGCTCAAAATTATTTTACACGTTGCGGAGTGGTGTTAGCAATATACGTGGGACTCGGTGGGAGGCACGCGTGTTCGAACGCGCTCGAGCGTGATCTGAAATGTGGGGGCCATTCAACTTGAAATTGAAAAACGTGAGTTAGAAACACACGTGAGACCACACATTGCATGCTCATTTCAACGCATGAACGCACACAACAACCTGCTACGCGACGACCCGCTACGCGGCGACATGCTATGCGACGACCCGCTACGCGGCGACATGCTACGCGACGACCCGCTACGCGACGACCTGCTACGTAACTCCATCAACACTACTGCTACGATGGTATCGCTGCTGAGCAAAACCACAGTGTATGAAGATGCGCAAATACGTTTACCCACAAATGCCAAACAAGTGCCGCGGAGCGACAGCGCTCATCTAACGTCTACTGCAGTGACTCTGTGGTGGAGTGGTGGGATTCTAGTAAACCCTGTTAGTCCCAAACGTGTTCACATACACGCCGAAACAGTGGAATGCACAGGGATGGTATCAGGAACCTTCTCAAAGGAATGTTCGTTGGGATCGTTATGAAAGTTGCCATAAGAAGGCGCGTACGTTTAAGTGTCTTCAGATTAAAGATGGAAGCTCCCATCGTACGTAGTAGCAACAACTATTTGCAAGACAGAATAGGTAAGCACTCTTCCATTTACCTACGCAAGCCTACAGGCTGCAATAGAGAGCTGCCACCTGTAACCAATTAATGCAGGCAAAAACTACACAATACCACCACCACATGCACTGGCAGTGGCATACGTTACATGTAACATACTGACAGTACAGAATGCCAGCTTTGGAAATTAATACGATCAGAAGCATAAACTCTCTTCAAGAACCAAAATAGCTTTGTTGAAATGTTCACTGTGACATTGTAGCCTCATATCATCTTTTTTCTATTTTGCCTGTATTTTATTTATTTTCTATTTCTTATCTCTAATTCTTTTCTCTGTTCTATTTTCAAATTCTTTCTAACAGACAGTAAACAAGATCCATGGTTTAACCGCTCCTCTTGAAGGTCAAAAGGTTGATACCCGACATTTACGTCTTCGGCATGTCAGCAGACGGTAACATTTCATGTTCTTCATAAAGGCCATAAAAAGCTAGTCTACGCTGAGAGGCAAAAAAGTTTTTTCATATGCGCATCCGTCAGACCGCATGGTCCTCAGAAAATGTCTAAACGTCTGCCCTGTGCCCATGACCCTTGACCTCTCAGATTTTGTGCACGCGATGGCTTTTCCTGACCATGATGCTATATACCGACTATCGCACAAGCCTAAGTCGACGCCGTTTTAGATTGTTGCCCGCAATTCCCCTTTGGGGCGGCCCGCCCCCCCCCCACCTTTTTTTTCCCCCCCCCACTTGGCATTTCTCCCTATACTGTAAGTAAGGAGTGAATGTTTCCGCCTTCTTTTACACCTCTTGCCCTTGACCTTTTGGTACCCCCCGAGCAGCTTTCGGACATCCCAACTCGTGGTGTGACGACTCCCCCAATGTGCCCAGAATATCGTTGACGCGTACGTCGAGGCGTTAAGATTTGTGGCCAAAATCTGTTGACGGCGAACGAGGCGAACGGAGCGGACGGACGACGGACGGACAGTACCGGACGGACGGACAGCAAATCCGCGATTGAAGCAAGCTGCAATTACTGACTATGTCAGATGGCTACAAAAACACGAACACATCAGCGCAAAATTGAACCCTTAATGGCAGGCACAAACGACGCAGCGAGGCGTAAAGATCAGCGGTTTACCACGCGCAACACGCGGGCGCGGAGAACGATGCCATCACCAGCCAGCACGCTGTCCGCGGCCTAAAAACCACACACCGTGCATCTGCCAGCACTTCTAGCGGCAGCTTTGAACAGCCTGAAACTCGAACCATCCGTCTGCCGGAAACTGACGAAATACGCCCTCCAGACCCCCGCCCCCGCTAGCATATTTGTGCACTGATTGTCGTGAGGAGAACATCTGCGACTGCTCGCCGTTCAGGGGGCGCCGCGCGACACAGTGATACTTAAGACACTGTCGCAGCATATCATGTACCGTTCGTCATTGCTGAGCATGCGAAAAAGTGCCGCTGAACTAGAGAGGAGAGAGAGACGTACCCGGACTTGTTATAGGGATGCACCAGTACATCCGTGAAAGGATGAGTCGGATACCATGACATGAGTGACAAACAACAACTTCGAAATGATCATAACATGGCATGGAATGTGACACCTTTTGTTCTGCTGCTGAGTTATTGGCTGAGTTCATCTGAGTTGAGATGATTTAAAAGAGATGATTGGAGAAATCTGATCATGCGAAAGAGACGGAGAGGAGAAGTGAAGGAATAGGGAAGGTGAGAAGCAGAGAGGGAGGCGAAATGGGAAGGGAGTATGAAAAGCGGATGAGGGAAGGAGGGGAGGGATGGCTGCAAAGGGAGGGGGGCAAAGCAAACAATGAGAGGTGAGAGAACACACCTACCAGATGCACCTGGTGGTGCTGGCCGACCATTCGTGCATGGCTTCAGCTTCCTGCAACAATCTGCAGCCGCTGCTGCCACTAACTCCATCTCTAAATCATAGCCTTCTTCACGACCCCTGTAGCAACACGTCGCTCAGGTCCTCACACATGTTACATCGGCGCTCTCCTGCCTCAAGGTAACGTTACCACGACAGTCGCATGCCTTCAGTATGTGTTACAATACACAAACAGCTCTCTAAGCCACTGCAGACGCAGAGGGTGAAAAAGATACGCACGCAACGCAGCACCGGCACGCTGACGCAAACGCACCACGCACACAATGCTCGCACACACACACCACCCCACGCATCAACACGCACGCAGCACGCTTCACACACACGCACGCGCGACGCCAATCCGCGACACACGCAACGCTCGAAACCACGCGCACGCACACTACGCTCGCGACTACACACCACACACGACGTACGTCGATCGCACACGCACAGCTGACGGCAGCACCCTACACTGACACACGCACGTCATCTCACGCGTCAAGGGTCGCCAAAACAGAACGGCACTGCGACACGCACCGCACGGCATCTAACAGCTCAACATTGCATGCATGCTGCCACGCTCGCACGCCACGCTGCACGCAGCCACGGCTCGCACGCCACGCGCGCAAAAACGCTCAGGCACCGCTCACATGCATGCATGCCCCACGCTATCGAAACACGCTAGGTCCGCGTCCGTCCCGCTCCGCGGACACGCGACGCAAGCACGCTCACATGCATGGCAGTGCCCACGCTCTGAGCACCACATGCCGCATGCCCGCACGAGCACCTCACAATGCATGCACGCACGCGACGGCTCGCAACGCGACAACCACGCACGCAGCACGGCTCACCATGCACCCGAAACAGCTCTCATGACGCTCTTCACGCAGACGTCGATCGGTCGTCACACTTCCCAACGCACGGCTTTCTGCTGGCCACAAATCGAAAAGAATGGATGGGGTATTGAAGGCGCACAAAGCTCTGCACCACTGCTCTCAACAACTCACCGAAATGCATGCACACAGCACCACTGAGCAACGCTCTCACGCACGCGTCTCAACACTCCATGGCATGCACACATGCCACATCAGACTTCAGCACACAAACTACGGCCTCACCAGCCTGAGCTCGTCACAAACTCCCATGCATACACACAGCACACAGAACGCTCTCACGCACGCTCTCACACTCCCATGCATGCACACAGCACACAGAACGTCTGGCAGCACTCACGTGTCGATCGCGTCGAGTATGTTGGCTGTTGCGTGCGAGTCGGCGGCGGCGCGATGCCTATCCCCATCGTTGTCGTCGCCGCGAGGGGGCGCCGGCATAAGCTGCGTCCGCTCGTCGCCGAGGAAGCGAACTTTCTCGACCTTGGCCTTGACGACCTCCTCGACTGGCTCAACCATCGGCGTGGGCGACGCCGGCGGCGTCGGGGGCGGTGGCGCCCCGTAGTTATGGTCCTGCGAACGTAAGACACACGCCGTCATGCTCGCGAAACCTCCCCACTGGAATGCAGCTCGACGCGCACGCAACACTGGTTACCCAGCGGACGGCCGGACGAGGCTCGCTGGACATTACAGGAAGGATTGCCGGACAAGAAATACGGAAGGAAGATGTGCGCTGTCACGACGGACCACCGAATTAATATCACGCAATTAATATCAATGTGCTATGATACGTGTCTTGTACGTGTTACGGTGCATAGATTCATGTCGTATGCACGATACATGTCATCTGTGTGTAACGTTGCATGCGTGGTGCACGCATCATGGGAAATCGACGAGACTCGACGGAGGCAGGTGTACGTACCTGGCAGGTACTGATGTCAATGGGTTGTAATTGCGTAATCGATCATCGGTTGGACCCAAGTAACCGATGATCGGTTACAATCGGTTACTCGGGGTGTTGAATGCCTATAAAGCCCCTATGAGCGTATAAAATCCCTAGTGTGTCCTAGGCTTTAGCCCCTCAACAGGAAGTAACTACGGCAAATGTCGGGTGATTCTCGAACTAGCGATGATATCTCTGATTCTCATTACTTTTCCAAGTTTTCTTGTTCAAGTTTTACATTTATTTCGATTATTTTTTTCATTTTTTTCCCCCATGAAATCGATTATGGATTTTGATAACCAAGAGCTTGGTTCGAGCAACTGTTCAACCGATGATCGAGTATAATCGATGATCGTGACATCAATACTGGCAGGGCAGGCCGAAGCAGCTTGTGCAAGAGCTCATGAGGGTGATGCACGTGTGTTACATTGCAATGATTCGTGTCGTAAGTGTACAGCTGCATTATTCCGCGTTGCACATGTATTACATGGCTCTGATACGTGTCAGGTGTGTGTAGCATGTTACACGTGTGTGGAGGGCGGCACCAGGGCGTACTTACCTGGTAGGGCAGGCCGAAGCAGCTTGTGTAGGAGCTCACGGGGTGATGCTGCGACACTGTGATCTCCTCCGGCGCCACCTGCACCTCCAGCATGTCCGGTCTGCAATACGACGCGTACGCGCACGTGAGTACGCGTGAAAACCCACAGCAACACGACGCGCACGTGAGTACGCTCGAAAACCCACCGCAACACGACGCGTACGTGAGTACGCTCGAAAACCCACCGCAACACGACACGTACGTGAGTACGCTCGAAAACCTGCCGCAACACGACGCGTACGCGCACGTGAGTACGCCCGAAAACCTGCGGCAACACGACGCGCACGTGAGTACGCTCGAAAACCTGCCGCAACACGACGCGTACGCGCACGTGAGTACGCCCGAAAACCTGCGGCAACACGACGCGCACGTGAGTATGATTGTCCGTCACACCGTCCGTCTGTACCAGTGCCGTCCGTGCCGCCGTCCTCCGTCGATCCGTCAACAGTTGGGCACAAATCTTAAACCGCTCGACGTACGGTCACCCAATATGCGGTCGACAGTGGGGGGATCGTCAAAATCGAGTTTGGGATGTCGAAGCTGGGGGGTCACAAGGGATCACAAGGTCAAGGAGGTGTAAAAAAGGGGAACTGTACGTCCTGTCAAACTTCAAGGTATAGGGAGGAAATGCAGAAATTGCGGCACAAATCTAAACGGCTCGACGCTAGAGCTTGTGAGTGAGTCGGTCATTAGGCATCGATGGTAAGAAAAGCCATCGAGCTGTGCAAAATTGGAGTGCAAAGGGTCAATGGCACAGGGCAAGATTTTAGACAGTGTTCTGAGGACATGGTCCTGCGACGGAGCGATTGAGAAAAAAGTTGTACTTTTGTTTCAGCGTGAACCTAGTCATTTATGCTTTAATTGAAAGGACCATGAATATGTAACGTTCTGCTGACCAGGGTCGAAGAGTAAGTGTCGGATAACCTTTTGACCTTCAAAGAAGGGTTAAAACATGGATTTTGGTTTTATGTCCTGTTAGAAAGAAAACATGGGAACTGCGGTTGCCTAAGTAGAACTAACATCCTGGATGTAATGATGGCTACCAATGTCACCAGTGACAATTTCATAAAGCACACAACTTTTGGTTAACAGAAAGGTATGCTTCTATATCGTATATTCTGGCATTCCTGTACTGTCAGTTATGTTACATGTAACTGTATGCCACTGGCAGGCATGTGGGTGGCTGGTAGAATTGTGTAGTTTTGCTGCATTAATTGGTTACAGGTGCAGAGCTTCTTCTCTTGGCAGGCCTGTAGGCTGCGTAGTAATGGAAGAGTGCTTACCCTATCTGTCTTGGCAAATAGTTGTTGCTACTACGTAACTATGGGCAGCTCCAGTCTTTAAATCTGAATGACACGTTAAACGTAGCGCGCCTTCTTATGGCAACTTTCATAACGATCCAACGAAGCATTCCTTTGAGAAAGTTGCCTAGATACGCATCCTGTGCATTTCCACTGTTTCGCGTGTAGTGTGAACACATTTGAGCTAACAGGTTACTAGGATCCCACCCTCCACCACAGAGTCAGCTGCAGTAGACCGTTAATTGAAGCGCTGTCGCTACCGGCGGGCTGTTTGGCATTGTGGGTAAACGTATTTGCGCCATCTCTCATACAACATGTGGTTTCTGTGCTCAGCAGCGAGTACCATCCGTAGCAGTAAGTGTTGATGGAGCTTACACGTAGCAGGTCGTCGCGTAGCGGTCGATCGCGTAGCAATGTCGCCGCGTAGGCGGGTCGTCGCATAGCATGTCGCCCGAGCGGGTCGTCGCGTAGCAGGTTTGTTTGGTGCGTTCCATATCGGCGTTGAAATGAAGCATGCAAGTGTGTGTCTGCACGTGGTTGTTCTAACTCACGGTTTTGCAATTTCAAGTTGAATGGCCCCCAACATTTCAGATCACGCTCGGGCGCTTCGAACACGCGTGCCCTGCCCACCGAGTCCCACGATATTGCTAACGACCACTCCGCAACGTGTAAAATATTTTGACCTTCCTCTCCATACATGCATTGCCATAAGAAACCGATGTGTGTGTGTGTGTTGTGTGCTGCAGGGTCTGCAGTATCTGTGACTGCGGAGTGCACCCAGGACCAGTCCTCGCTCTCGCCTCACTCCCTCCCTCCATACTACACCTGTACAGCGCTCTGAACGTGGCGTGGCTTGGTAACAGTACATCAAGAGTAATAATTAGAGCAAGAGTACACTGACACAACAGCTGGTTTTAACAGCGTTTTGCATGAGTTTTCACTGTTGAATTAGAATTTAATTCTAGATCAAGTATGTGAATAATATATTCAAACTACCTGTTTTGTTTCGTGCTGATTCGTCCCTTAATCATGATGACACACCAGTCTTTACCTGCAAAATCGTATGTGTTCTTGCAAAAAAGTTCTTTGAATACGACACGTTTCACACCGAGGTTCTTTGCCGCCACGATCTGCATCTCTCCCCGATATACCTCTGGAATAGCCGGTGGCAGCGACGAGGATGTTCACTACGCTGCGACCTGGGCGGCTGCTTGGAGGGGATAATTAGGTAGCAGAGTAACAAGCGAGCTTGTTTCACCTTCAGGTTTATTCATCAGA